AATGTTCAAGAGAACAGCTCGGCTTACGGGGATTTGAGTCCAATTAATCAGTACTTGGAGTCTCGCAGTTATACTACCATCCGATTATTATTCAATTATTTGTTTAATTTTTGTAAAACATAATTTTGTTTAAAATCGATTTTTATTAATTTCGTTTTACTTTTATCTCGCTTTTTTATTACATTATTTATTTTTATTGTTATTTTATTCATTTTTACCTTTATGCATCTACGTGGTACTCCTTTGAAACACATTAAATTCCTTTTATTTACTTTTCTTATAGATCTGCTACAATTTGGGCATCAAAGAAGGGGTTTTGCCCCACGTATCGAATTTTACGATATTCTTATACGCATTCTGTACGGCTATAGAGTTTCATGCAGGCATTCTTGAGCCAAAAACGGTACGACCGAGCTACATCAAATTTCTCCAAGGGATGTCAGGAGATAGGTGAGTGAAATGTTTATTTTTTTTTAAATACTATATTATTAAAATAAAATAAAAAATATTTCAGTTAAATTAAACCAAAGTCCTTTAATTAGTAACAGTTCATTGATCTGAATATAAATAGTTCACTAGGCTTAAGAAACGTAAACGAACTTTATTTAAAAAATAATTGTAGTTCAAATATTATAGTGATAAGGAAAATAATTTTTTTCAAAAGGGTATGCAGTGAAACCTTGATATAACGAACCTTGATAAAACGAAAAACTCTATATAAAAGACATTTTTGCTGAGTCCCTTGAAAAACACCTCGTTGTTGTGAAATTTTCCCTAAAAAATGCTTCATAGATAAACACAGAATATTATTAAGTTATTCACTGTTGGTCATTAGGATAGCGCACCCCCTTTTTTTAATTTGTATAAAATTTTAAAATTGGATTTACATGGTTCATGTTGTATAATATTTTTGTTTGCCTTTTTAATAAAAATAGTTTTAATCTAATTAAATTTTTAAGTACTATTTCCTTCCGTGTTGATAATTTGTTTCCTTTTTTTTCTCTAATTTAATTTTCTGTTATTTATTAATTTTTATTATTTTAAAATCGAAAAATATATGTTTTATTTATTTAATTTAATTAAAAAAAACTGGTTGCTAAAAGGCGAACAGAGTGACCTAAGACCTCCTCGTATCAGATCTTTCATTAATAAAACTGTTAATTGTAAGTATCCAAAGGGTGCGCTATTCAAATGACGAGGAGTGTATAATGAAGAAATGGAAACCTTCCGAATATATCGACGGTTAAAGTCCCTGTTATATAACGAAGTGTCGACTCTAAAGTCTCTACCTAGCGAATTCTGAATAGGTTGACGGTTAGAGTACCGTTGTAAAAAAAACGATACTTCAAACGAATTTTTTGTTGCATCGAAACTTTCTAAGTAACGAAGCATTTGTTTATTTCGCATTCGATTATTTCGAAGCAAATAAAATACCTGATCGTATATATGTATGTAGGTATTTCGGAATTCTGAGGTTTCAAGTGGCCCGCTATGCATAATTGTACCTATCTGTAACTGTCATATTTAATCTTCATCCAATATAATTTATTATTATTTTTGTTTTTGTTTTTTTTTCAGATTTAATCGATTTAACTTGGAACCCTTCAGCATCTATGGTCAAAATGCCAGCGAACAAATGCGAGAAGTTTCCAGAAAACTGAATATTATCAACCAAGCACCGTTGCCTAAATGTTCACTTGCCTCGTGGAAATAATAGTAGCATACATACATACATACATATAGGGATGCAATATCTATAATTACATATACAATGTATAGAGAAAAGCAGACTTAGAAAGGGTTTAGAGAGCGATAATGAAGAAGGCAAAGCCTTTCGCTAAAGTAGCGATTTAGAATGAGAAGAAATGGAAATGAAATACAATTGTGTGATTCACAACGAGTCATTACAGTCATAAATTTTATAACGTTAAAAACGATGCTGCAGTTGTTATGAATCACTCAAAAATAAGTTTAACGTTTATAAAGTTTATGAAAATATCACTAATTACGACACCTTGCGAATCACCAAAATAATTAGTTAGACATCGTCGTAGTAAGGCAACGAAGCAGAAGAGCAAGAAAAATAATGTAATAAGTGTAAAGACATTCCTTAATGAAAAGCGTAATCGAGCAGAGAATCAGCTAGGGTTTCATAAATGTATTATGAATAAAATCAATTTTTTTTATACTACATACTATGTGCATATGTGCAAGTGTTTCTTAGCGTTTTTTATTTTTGTTTTATTATTTTTTACTTGATTTTGTTTGGATGACTTATTAAAGATTAAGTGAAAATCCTAGTATTTGTACATAAATATATATTACGAAAACTTTAATTCTAAAATTTGGGGTGATTTGTTTTTAGACGCAGGTCTTTCAAACTGCGGTGTATTGATTTTTTGGTAGACTTTTATATTTTCCCTTTGTATGGTTAAAAAAAGAAAGATGTGGTGGAATTCTTTCTTATATATATTCTTTCATTAATAATAATAACTATTCTTTATTTACCCGGTATTTTTTATTCTTGCTTAAAAAAAATTAGGAATAGTCGTTGCCTATGATTTAGGTATATAAAATAAAATAAACACATACACATACATATATGGATATGCATATTTATAAAACTAAGGTTAAGACATAAACTAGCTAATAGCTACGATAAAAAAGATTTTACAAAATTTAATAAATAAAAATATACATTACTTTAAAATTTCTGTGACCGTCACAAAATAATTCCAGATTTTTATATTATTTGATAGAGCGTCATATAAGGCGTTGTTACTAGAAAAGCTAATTTGATTTTACTTGGCAGTACACAAATATCAAAATTTTATATTTCACTAAAGTAAATGAGAATATATGTATTTTCTTTCACTCTTCTTCCTTGAGAAAGAAATAGCTGAAATTTGACATTTGGTACCAAATGCAACAACAAAATACATCTTTTTTTCGAACTGTCGTTACCACCTTATATGAATTCGTCTTGACCTGCGCGAAGTCAAACAATATTAAGTTAGCATATCGACGGCTGAGTGGAAGATCGCCCTACCCCGACTGTCGGTTCGAAAACGCCCATGTGGTGAAAATATTGCAGTATATACTTTTAGGCTATGTGCCGCGAGTATTCGGTTAAGTAACTTATTTCGTTTCCATGTTTTATTAATTTAAAAAAACAGTCTACAAAGTAATTACTTTTTGCAGACTAGTTAAAAATACGAAATCTCCAAAATGGATGGTAAGATGACGAGAATACCCTGGGCACGGAATTCCTAATGAATTCTTCCATTCATCTCAGAGTTAACTTTCACCAAAACGACCAGGCTCGTTGTCGTAATATGACTCCCAAAGCCTACAGGGTTTCAATAAAAATTTTGACTCGATAAACCTAAAAATATAAAGTTTTGATGTAGTTTTTAAAATGAAGAATACGAGCATTGAGTCGAGTAAATGATCGAGCTAAAAGCATTCCCTACAAAAATTTGAAAGAAAAAATTTGGTGAATATAATACTTGTAAATCTCTTTATGGTTGGTTCGATTCTTCCAGCAGCATTTGAAATATATTTATTCGGGATAACTTGAGCTGTCACCGCACGTCATACACACTATGTTCACCACAGTCATTTCACCGACAAAACTTATGGATCTCTAGTCTTGTGTATAGCACTGGATAAAAGTAGCAATCAAAGAATAATTGAGAGAGTGCAGAGACTCTCATGCCTCGATATAAAAGGACCTGTGAGGAGGCACCCGACATACATAGGTCTTCATAACTAGCGCATCCGAAAAAGAAGCCGCTTACATATATTCGGAATCGATCTTGAGTGAACTCAAAAGAGGACAGCATATCAGGATGAAGGCTGACTGAGACGCTGACGATAATCACATAAAGTCCTATATATATTTGCAGTGTTTTTAAAGTTAAAAGTTTTTTATAAAAATATGGTTCATGTTTTAACCAAAACCATATATGTATGTAAATCAAACTTTCAAACCTAAAGCTAGGATTCCACTATCGGCGCAAATAGCTCAAAATGTACCGATTTTCATCTTGCTTGATCGTTACATATTTAAAAAAAATTGTACAACTACTTTTTGAGTGGTCTCATTATCATCGCATATTGTGACAAACTTTTTCGGTGCATATCGGCCAAATTAAATATGCGACGATAATCGGTACAACAGATTACACTATCGTGATTGATTAATAACAATAATCAACAAATTGTCGACTTTGATCACGGCAGGAGCGTCCGATAAAATCCGACGCATTTTTACAATTTGATTATTCTGAAATGGGCAAAAGATTCTTTACATTATCGGTACAGCAATATTAATTTTGGTTGCTTATAGTCAACACAATTTCGGGTCAGATTGTCGCATTTCGAAAAATCGCGTTTTTTCACACTATCGGTACATGAAATGCGCCGAAAATCGCCCCATTGCGCCGATAATGGGATTTTACATTTATGCCGGCAGGGTGTGACACACCCTAATATAGAGCCAACATCAACAATAGGCGTAGGCTGCGATTGTGACGCATGAACAATATCTATCATCATAAGGAAGAAAATTCGCAACGAAAGCTGCAAAACTGCTTACTCCACATTTTTCTGAGAAATCGAATTGAGCAAAAGCCCAGTCAAATTAGACTTTTTCTAAGAAAAAAAATTTGTAGCATCAATTTTTTATGCAGTTTACTTCTATTTGAAGCGTAGATCATGGATCCACAGTCTTGTACCTAAATTTCATATGGCAACATTTCGCCATCTTGGATTTTAGGCTTCTTGGGTTTTTGCGATTTGCAAGCTTATTTTGCATTTTTCGTAAAAAATGGTTGAATACAAATTTGTAGAGAATTTAATTTCCCACATTTGTTATATAGAAGGTTAAAAAAAAAACATTTCTTATTGTAAATAATTAACAAAAACTGCGAAAAAATTTTACATTGTAACGGTTTTCGCCATTTTTCAACAATTTCTGTTGAAAATACGTAGCTTATTGAAAGTCCAAAGTTATAGAGAATTTCATTACCCACAACTTTTATACGATTTTTTATTTTTTTTGTACGATGCATAGATCACGACCGGGAACGTGCCAAACATATCGATGTAAGGGAAGCGGCCATATCTCGTCAACCGGTACAGTACGATGGCCAAAATTTTATAGGAGGGATTATAAAGAATAAGGTCTTAAAATGATCACTTAGGGGCCCGCCATTAAAAATAGTGTGGCCTTTTGTATTTAACAATTTTTTACGAAAAATGCAAAATAAGCTTGCAAAACGAAAAAACCCAAGAAACCTGAATTCCAAGATGGTGAAATGTTGCCATATGAAATTTAGGTACAAGACTGTGGATCCATGATCTACGTGTCAAATAAAACTATACTGCATCAAAAAATTGCTGTTACAAATTTTCTGTTTTCTTCGTACCAATTTGATCTAATTTTACTGGACTAAATTGAAAATTTCGATGATAATTTATTGCTATTTCTTGCATTTTCGTCCGAGTTCTGTATGAGTTCAAAAAAATCGATTCTTGTGGTTTTTGCTGTTAAATGAACTATGTATATTTTTTTAATAAAAAAAATTTGGTATGGAAAATATAAGTAAATAAATCGTTAAAACGTCAGGGTATGCATATTTTTTACGCTCACTGTATATGTAAGCTAAAAAGATCTGTTTGTAATGCCAAACACAGATCTTCTTAATAAATATAGGCTTAATAAAGCGTACAACGCGATTTCTCGCTTTACTGACATATCATTTCAGCTTCAAAAGTAAGTATAAAAAATTATCTCTCACTCTCTTATTATTACTGCTGCTAATACAACACTCAACTGTTATAAAGCTGCAATTTGCATTTCGTATTTGCTAAAAGTTATAAAAGAAAGTTTAAGTTGGATGTACCTTCCTTGTGGGTATATTTATTGCAGTAAATACCCTGTAGGAAATTTTGAACTCGTGACCTTTGTTACTAGTTGGCTATTAGAATTTTTTAGAACACATCAATCAATGCTAATTTTTATGTAAAATAATGAGACTCCCTCTGGTAGTTGTCGTTTTCATCGCTTAGAAGTGTAAACCCGAAATAGTACCGAAGACTTCAGACCATTCAAATATTTCCGGTCACCTATACAGTCTTCGTAACAAGTTCCAATTTTTGATGTCCTTAAGCAGCGCGGGAAGACTTGTGCGATCGAAGGCGTGTGAAAGGCTGAAAGCCACGATCAACGAACTGATTCGGCCTTATCAGTGCGGATTTAGACCTGCTAAAACCACTGTAAACCTGGTTTTTACCATACGCCAAATTTTCGAAAAGACCCGCGAGAATAGGATCGATATTCACCATCTATTTGTCGACTTCAAAGTCGCTTTCGACAGCACAATAAGGACTTGCCTCTATGACGACTATACTAGCTTGGAACCTAACGTTTTCAATGCCATCTGGCGGCCAACGATAAAGTGACATTCCCTGATAGAGACTTACTATCCCGAATGATACATGCTGCCTGTTCTATGGCAGAGAACTCCACCTGAAAGACACTGTAGTGGTCAGGCAGGCGATTTGATTGCCTTATCTGCAGATCCTTGGAACATACTCCAATAACTCTGAGCTAGCTACTTTTTTCATCTTTGAGTCATCGGTGTAGATGAAAATACCATCTGTGCAGGCCGCCTTTCCAATCCTACCTAGTTGGAAAATGTATGGGAATCTTGAGATCAAAATTCCAGGATGAGGTCTGGTAATCAGTTTCGCCATCTAAGTCTGCCTTGAATCAATTACGCCGTCCACTATTAATTACCTTCAAGATCGCTACGTGCCCGTAATTCTAAGTATACTTGCGTTTAGTTTTTTCCAGCAGGCAGCAATTGTCATTTGCCCAGTTAATCCTTAGCAATTTGGGGATCTTAAAAAACGTAGCATATTTTTAAGCTAGCAACTGGCGGTTGGCTCCTAGCAACTCACTAGCTCACACCGACTGATAGATACACAGAGTATAACGCGAGGCCACTTATCATTTTTATGCGCTATTGTGGGATTTCATTCGACCGCCAGCCACCAGCCGGCAGTCGCCGACAGCTGCCGCAACATTGAGCGCTCGTATATCAACACTTAAGCCGGCAATAGTGACGTTTGTACAATAAAAAAAAAGAAAAAACAATGACTTACAAAATAAAGCAGCATTTTAAAATATAAACAAAATAGGAACAATAAGCGCGCCATCCCAGCTGTTGAGTAAGTTTGTTGCGTTCGTGTGTGGTGTGCGCGGGGCAATTCATTTTCATGCATTTGAGACAAAAAAGCGATGTGGAAATATTACATATAAGCACACAAGTATATAAAAAGTTTAAAGAAATAAATTTCAGTTTTAAAAGCTCAAGACACGCGCGCTTGTCCAGCAAAGACCAAAAGCGCTGTCTGATATATGTACATAAATATAAATAAAAATATATTTTTTAAAATAATTTACCATTTAGGCTCTTCACAATTGAGTCAGTCATGCGTTGTTTAAACTGTCTTCAACACGTTGCCACAGCAATGCCATCATTTTGGCTGTTGGTTGAGAAGTTACTTATGGTCTGGTAATAAATTCGTTTGACGCAGAATAGCAAGCGGATTGAGTGTCGGATAGCGGCATTTGTCGCAAGCGATAATGTGCTTTCCCCAGCCCAACTTTTCAATATGCTATTCAATTACATAGGAGTATTATGCTAATATTATTAATTCTG